AAAATAAGTAATCAGTAAAGTAATGGGATTACTTTTTGGGGAAGTAATCAGTAATTAGTTACTGATTACTTTTTTCAAGTAACTTGACCAACACTGTTCACTACACAGAGACATCAGAGCATCCCATAACCAAACTAACACTCAAACAAAGGCAGAGGAAAAAGAAAACAAGTATAAACCAATCACTTTCATCTTGATTAGGTACAATTAAATAACAGTCTTGTGAAGGAAGGAAGACCAAATCTTTTTTATTTATATATTTATTTGCATGGATGTGTCTTTGACATATGACTCATTCAGAGCAGCTCAAATGCCATTGTTGAGTATGCCACAAATTATTCAAGGAAAACAAATCATAGCAAATACCAATTTACTTTTGCTGTTATTAGTACAACTGTTGAATTGATTGGAGGAAGATAGGGTGGTGTATAAGTGGAGGACGGTGCACACAAGTGGACTACATCTTATGTAGTAGGCGCAATCTGAAAGAGGTAGGAGACTGCACGGTGGTCGCACAGGAGAATTTAACTAGGCAGCAAAGATGGTAGTCTGTAGGATCACTTCAATCATCAAGAGGAAGCGAGGGCAGAGGCTCAGGAAGGAATTGAGACGTGCTCTGGGTGGAAGGGAAAAATTACAAGCTGACTGGGAACATACAGCTGTAGTGCTGAGGGAAGCTGCCAAGCTGTTTGGTGCATCCTCTGGACAGAGGAAGTATTGGAAGGTTAGGCTTATGGCAAAGAGAGAAAATCTATCTGCTTGGCCAATCTATCAATTGGCCAGGCAGAGAGAGACTGAGATGGAAAAGATGTGCAGTGGGTTAGGATGATTAAACACAGAAATGGAAATGTGCTAATGATTGAAGAGTCTGTTGACAAGACAGAAGACAGAAGAAATACTCCAAGGAGCCGATGAATGAAGAAATCAAGAGTGAGAGGAGGATAGATGGTGGAGAGTTTTTGAATCAGGAAGTGCAGAGGATTAATAAGGAATAAGTGAAGGCAGCTATGAAGATGATGAAGAGTGGAAAGACAGCTGGTCCAGATGACATAGCTGTGATGGTGTGTGAATTACCGGGAAACTGGTGGAAATGTTAACATGTAAGGAGCAGAGATGAGTTTAAATACCTGGGGTCAACCATCCAAAGCAACGGACACGGCAAAAGAGAGGTGAGGCAGGGTTGTCTCGGTGGAAATGAGTGTCAGGGGTGACATGCGATAGAAGGGTAGCAGCAAGAGTGGAAGAGAAGGCTTACAAGGCGCCAGTGAGACCTTACTCCACCACGATAAGAGGCTGAGGTGGAGGTGGTCGCAGAATTCTAGATGTTAAGATTTAAATTCAGATTGACCAGAAAGGACAAGAAAGAGAAATGAGTACATCAGAAAGATATCTCTGAGTGAGCGGTTTGGAGAGAAAAGGTTGAGATGGTTTAGGATGTATGCAGAGGAGGTTTGTGGATGTAGTGCAGGGGGTTGGTGTGACAGAAGAGGATACCAGACACAGGGAGAGGTGGATGCAGATGATCTGCTGTGGTGACCCCTAAAGGGATCAGCCAAAACAAGTATCAATACATGTGTTGTAAACATATACTTGCTTGTGCAAAAACTAGTTGAGAAATCTGTACTGGAAACTTTAACCCTGAGAAAATCTCACAAAAACTAAAGATCCTTTGGTGCTCACATGTTTTTAACTGCTCCAGTCACACAGGTATTCAACCAATGAGGATCAAAAGTCAAACTAATATTACTGCAGATATTATATGATGATTGAACTGGATAAACAGAAGAGAACGGTTCGATGGATGAGTGTTTTAATACACCTCAGCAGGAAAAAGGAAAAAGACTCCTGAGGCTGACAGAAAATGAAAGGACATCTATCACTGGAGATGACTGTGAGTGCAATATCATACCACTAAAATGCTCAGGAAACTCTTCCAAAGGTTAAATCTGCATCCTTTCATTCATTGCATGCCTCTGTGTGTCTGCCACTATACCAGCGTTTTGAATATAGATTATAAATTTAATGCTCTTGATGATGTCCTAGTATTTTCTAAAGATGCCCAAACTGACAGCACTAGCATCATTTGCCTCCTACAAGCGACACTGATATACAAATCCAAGACATGGTTACTAAATAGCTTTGATATGTGGTCAAAATTGAGGTAAGATCAAAGCCTGCCTTCTGACATCCCATTTTAAAGTTTAAAGAAAATATACTGTAAAATGTACAATTCATGAGGCAAACAGATAAACAGACTTCAGTGACTTTAGCTGGTTAGCTATGGCTAGCCCACAACCCTTTTTCCATTGAATAAAAGAGATGCTGTAGCTTCTTAACTGACTTTGTTGAACATCAGCTTTACAACTGAAATTTACGTCAAAATATTAAAAACAAACAAAGAAACTTTCCCGGATAGGCTGAGTAATTAGTTTAAATGCCTTTTACAGCATTTAATTCATGATAAATGATCAAACTAGCCCCTGACTATAAACGGGCGCGCTAACTAAAGCATCTTACAGACTTTTGCATTATTGGTAATCACCAAAAGAGATTTTCCACAAGGGCCACTTTAAACCCCAACAGACTCCTAAATGTTCCAAAGTTGTTTTCTTTCAGAAAATGATCCATGAGGTTTTTTTGTGGTTTTTATTAGATCGTCCTGATCTGAACCTGTGTTGACTTTCTCTGTATTCATGCAACATCAGCACTAGGGTATTAGTGCGTCCATCAGAATCTAGATTCTATTTGATTATTCACTGACTTTACAGAGCTGTTGGATTAAATCTGTCTAAATTTCCGGCAGCAACTTGGAAAAAGCAAGTTTAAAACTTTAAAAACATCTAAGTAAATAATGATCACGATAGTCTTTCTTTCCACCTTCTCATTCAGTTGTGCCTTCCAAAATGAAAATGCCTTGTATAATCATCATGTCAGCCAATTGTCTGTGTCCATATAAGATTAGCTACACAGTATGCAATTCTTTTTCTTGTCCTCTCAATACTCTTCAACTGCTGGGCATGTAGCAGGACAGCGCAGCAGACCGAGGAGTCTGAGCCCCAGCATCGTCTTTCAGGCCTGAGATAGATGCAGCATGCAGGGCTGTTTTTGGACATACAAACAGAACCCAGCTGAGGAAGCAGAACAGATATCGCCCCTTTGATGAACAAACCCAAAACTGTAATGTTGTGAAATACGAACGTTTTGGCCATCTGTTGGTATTATTACACACAGAGTAAAGGACAAACACATTATACTGCTAACAGCTGATGAATATGTTGTTTCACGTATGGGCAACAAAATGCTTAAAAGTATGTATTTACCTATTTCCATAGAAACATGTTTATTTTGACGTTCCCGGGCTCAGGCCGTGTCGTGTACAAAGAGAAGTTGAAAATGAACCTAAAAAAGACTTCAAAATGACACCTCGTCTAAATTGTACAAAAGTTGTTTCATTTCTTTGTTGTTATGTCATAAGTAGCACCTGTGTGCTTTTACATACGCACTTCTTCTTTTGACTTTTAAAGCTGTAAAGTGGTTTTTTTCTTCATTCAATAATCACAGATCGTTAACTCTGTGAGCTTTGCTGTAATAACTCCATGGAACAATACGAGTGTGTGTTTGCGAATGATTTTATCCCAGAGTTTGGTAAAGCTGATCATCCCACTTTCTCTCAGGTTTTGTTTCTTCTCAAACAGTTTGACTTTGTTAGATTAGTCCGTGTCAGTCCTGCTTAACAAACTTTGACCTCCAAAACCCAAATCAAAAGGGTTTCACCTGAAGAGCTTAGGACAGGAGATGGAGGAGGTGAAGTATCGGGGAACGAGGCACAAAGCTGGAAGAGGAGGAAGAGATCTTTGGTTCTCAGTGGAACTGCTGAACACAAAATCTTGGATCCTTAGTTTCTTGTATTTCAATCTGGTTAAGAAAGAGAGAGAAAGAACAGAGACGGTGTCAGGACAGCAGCATCTGAGCTGAGAGATGGAAACTGAAACATGCCATGAGAGACAGGAGGGTGTGTGCCAGGACTCATTCTTGTCCTGCATGCTATATACTATTTTGTACTGGCAGGGATAGACTGTGCTTGAACACTGGGGTTATAGGTCAAGCACAAAATTAGGCATCATTTGCACACATTTCTATCTCATATGCAACAGTTTAGAGTGGAAATGTCTCCGTAAAATCATGCACAATTCACAGACTGCACACATCTGTTGAAACAGAAAATTCCTTCCTCACCTTCAGTGAATTTCATGTGTTTGTTATTTTGTGAAGAACACCAAGACAATGCCTCCTATATTTTCTGAATAAAATCGGATATGTATCTGAGAAGCTATGATGTGAAATGCCCAACCTGTCCTGTCTCACAATGCTAAAGAATCCAAATATTCCTGGATCCAGACTTCTGGACTCTGCGTTTTGAAGCCTCAAAGTTAGTGGGGTTATTTTTGGTAGATAGTTGGCACATTTAGATGATGACTGTATTCTAAAGCTTCCGGTGTAAAACACATATAACTGCTCAGACTAATAAAATACACAAATTTCACTCAGCACAACCACACAGCAGGCATTATTATCAGACAGCGACATTCATGAAGACCATAACCACTATCGAGCTGTTATGATGGATTAAATTATTAATAGAGTCCAAGATTTTTGTTCTTTTTTGTTTGTTTATTCGTCCCGGACTTCAGACAGTCTTCAGCATGAATGTTTTGGAGTGGGATGTACCACAGAGAAGTGTCAGCCTGCGATCTTTCTGTCAACCAAACCGTGTAGTTTAATAAAGTTATTTAAATTGATAATATCATATCAAAAATAGCTGTTAGTGTCGAAATCTGTTGGCAGTTGAATATTTTCCCTTTAAAAGTGGAAAAATAATTATTTTGTATACAAGACCCAAATGGATCCATATGAAACCAGACGGATGTTAGAGGCTGTGACTACTGCCTGGTATGTGGCATTCAGACATTTTCTAGTATTTTCAATTCTATTCTCCCGTAGATCAGTTTTGCACGTTCATTATTTTCCTGCTGACTCCACACACATTCAGCCATGACTCACTCTTCTTTCCTCTCCTATTCTGTTTGGTGTTGTAACCTTTAAATGAGTGATGTTAAAATTCAAATGACTGTTGGAGCTTCCTTTGTTTATGTCACATGACTGCAAGTCAAAGTAGGGGAACTGTCACAAGGACTTTGACATATGAATCAGCAGGTGGTGAATAAAAGGCCAAAAACATACAGAAACATTGTAATGTGACAGTTTTTCTTACAGATTTTGCAGCCTCATTCTGACACACTTTCAATGTAATTTTATCCTTTAGAGCTGCTATGTCTATTTGAAATGCATAAACCTTCATAGTTCTGCCATGAGATCTTAGGTCTTTAATGTTTTATTAATGTTTATTGATAACTCAATGAAAAAAATGTTTCTTTTGATGGATTAAAAGAACCGAAAACTATTGTAAATGTCACAAATACAAATGGGAGCAACTTACTGGCCTGTGAATACCAAGGTCAGATCAAGTTTAATTAAACTCAGTTAAGCAAGCAGCAGTCTGATTTGAGGCATCCATTATTTAGCCAGTCACAGCTGCCCCTGGATGAACCTCCTGTTTGTCACAAACAGGCTGGATGGGGAGGGATGGGGGTTGAGTTTGAATGTTGCTGATGAAGGCTGCCTGTGGAGAAGGATATTAATAGCTCCAGCACTTACCAGATGACTCATTCTTCAAGCAAAACCGTCGAATGAAAATGATTTTTTACACAAAGTTGGTTGGATGTTGGGTGAGATGTGGAGGTTATTGAATATTGTATTATCTGTTAGGTGCCGCGCCTCCAAGAAATACATACGTACTGGACCCAGTTACAGTGTGAGGGGATTTTTCTTGCACATTATGTTTCTTGACATTCATGTATGTTTGTAAACACTAAATTCTCTGAGCCTGGTTCTGCTGGAGGTTTCTTCCTGTTAAAAGGGAGTTTTTCCTTCCCACTGTCGCCAAAGTGCTGCTCATAGGGGCTCATATGATTGTTGGGTTTTTCAGTGTATGTATTATTGTACGGCCTACTTTACAATATAAAGCACCTTGAGGCGACTGTTGCTGTGATTTGGTGCTATAATAAATAAAATTGAACTGAATTGAATTAAATTCCTACTGCATCAGATATTTGACGTGGTGGGCCTCATCACAATGGTAAGTCTAATATGGTTAAAGCTGTCAAAGCACTTGGAGTGATAAGGAGGAGAGCTAAAAGAACATTACACTGCAAACACCAACATACAGCTGCTTTGCCATTTTAACTGAGGACCACCAGTCTTTTAAAGCATAGGTTCAGATTTACATTGCAATAACGTCAGTGCTCCAAAAGAAAGGACAGCACAACATAATGTATTTACACACAAAAGCGCCCCTGTTGACCATTATGAATAATGCAGCCTAACTAGTAAATAAAACCCTCACTCCAAGAAATCTGAGATGTGTAAGATTTAAATCACTTCTCACAAACCCACAAATGATTCACAGTAGAGCATAGAAAACATATCAAGTGATTAAACTGAGACCTAATATTTCATGAAAAATAGCTCATTTTGAATAAGATGGCAGCAATACTGTCACGGCTGGGTTCTCTTTTGTTTTCTTTGTTTTTCTCAGTGAATCTAAGCTTCAGTTGGAATGGTGGCTCCACCTCTGGGCAGAGTATTGTAGACTGTACTGTCTTCACTCCTGTAGTGATAATCGCTGGAATTGTCACCTGGAATACTCACTTGCCTGCAAGCCCTCTGCCACTGGTCACTTCCCTCTTGGAATCGACCTGCCTCCTAAGATACCCCTCGTGTTTATGCTCACTGCCACGTAAGACTGTAGTCCACTCACTCTTGGACATAGTTCAGTACCTATTGAGCCCTCTCGTTTCACTCTGGATTCACTCTTGTCCCTTTGCAGAACTCCCATTGTTGATCCTATTAACCGTGAATTCAAGCTTCCTCTCAGTCACCTTTGCATTATTTTTTAAATGATTTTGTGCAAATAAACTTAAAAAAAAAATGCAATCAGCTGGAATCCGCTCTTAACAGTCTGTAAATATCCATGGAGGTAGTAACCAAGGAGACCAGCTGCTGGACTAGTGAGGAAACCTATTCCTGCCTGATTCTGTTTTAATGCAGTGCTGCAGAGATTTCTCCAGACTGGCTGAATCTCTTGACATTATGCACTATATATGGTGAGATATTAAATGTTTTCACAATTTGAAATTGATGAACATTATCTTGAAGTTATTGCAGTTTTTTGCTGACTTCTCTTGTCTTTGGAGAAGCTGTCTCTCCAGGGTCACGTTGTGGTCAATGGTTGTTGGACATTTGATAAGATACTTATGTGGTCATATTAAGGTACATATATTTCTACTTATTTAAGCTATGTGTTACATTTAACATAATTTTTAACTTCTTTAACAATGGACTTTTCCTAATTTTGGGATATCTTAAGTTCTTTCTGTTAAACAGAACTGAGAAAGGCTTTCTTTCCCTCTCATGGTCTTCCACTCATCCCAGCATTCATGCGTCTCATGTTTGCCATTTTTTAAACAAGATCAAATCATCTGACATTGAAAATCAACTCTCACATGTTTTAATGTTATTTTTTCCAGACTACAGGGTATCTTACTTGTTCTGTAAAGAACAGATACATAACATGAGGAATCTGTAGACAAGGCACAAGATTTTTTCATCATTAAGCATAGAACATGTAAGGAGCAAAAGGACTACGTTTTCTGAAATTCAATCTCAAAACCATCGATTATTATCGGCCAATAACTTTGCTTTTTATTAGCTTTTAAAATTGTAAATTTTGAACTAGTGTCCTTGTAATTAGTATCTGTCATCTACTACCTGGATATGATGGCTATACCAGAGGCCCTGAAAAACTGGCTGTGTTCCCCTGTGGGAAGTTAACACATTCCCAGATTACTCACCTCTGTTTCTTCATATAGAGTCAAATCCACCAGAGAGAGGGAATGAACCCTTTTGTCAAAAAGCAATTTATGAGGGATATGAAAATTGTCCTAATTTTATGATAAAATCATAATGAATAATTGATCATCATGATGATCATAATAATAAAAAAATAAAAAATTAACAACAACATGGCCCTGCGACAAATTGGCGACCTGACCCGGGTGTACCCGCCCTTCTCCCTACAGTAGCTGCAAACCAGCACGACCCTGAACTGGAAGAGCATAAGAGAATGGATCAGTGCCTTTGGTTTTAATTATTCAGTTATACACTGAATACTTACGGTATGTAAAGTGCAACCCACAGCCCTCCTTGAAGCAGTAAACCAAAAAACTAAGGACGGTCCCAGCCTTGACCAATGAGAAACATAGCTGGCGTGGGCCAGTGCTGACCAATGAGAAACATAGACTATATATATATTGCCCCTGTGATGGCTGAGAAAGACTGCAGTAAGATCCTGTTTGACGTCCAGATGCAGGTGGACGCAGGAAGATGACCATATTTCCAAAAACTTTGAACACTTTCCTTTAACATTCAATTTGCTCTAAAAATTACTTTCACTTTGTAAATTGTATTGAGCATTTTCTTTGACAAGGAAGCTAATTAAACAGAATTACAAAATAAGGATAAGTAAAAGTTAAGTGCAAAGTTTCTCACAAGACAGGAAAGCCATCAAGTTCTCAGCCATAACTGATCAAAGCACATGCAAGGAGAACATGCTGGAGATTAACTCGACAAAACTGCAGGGTCTTACACCATCCATTCGCAGAGGTGGACCAAGATGGAGCTAAAGGAAGGAAGGAAGCAGTTTTAATGTAACACTATGGTAACTAAAGGATCTCACTGTGCACGCATTTTGAACATTTCACATTCATGATGGTCTGCTGGTTTGTTTAGCGCTAGTAGTGATAGATTGCTATCCCATCAATGACATTGGTGCTTAAATTAAATCAACCTGACATCGCATGAACACCATTGGATACAGCTGAATCCTTGAACTTAAATCCTACTTCTTTTATTAAAAAACAAAAAAGTCATGATCTCAAAGAAAGAAGTGAAGAAAAACTCAAGGATATAAGTGTTTCATAGGCCGACGCCAATGAGCAAAACCGAGGCATAAGATGGAAAATGCAACAGTAATTTTCATAATGAACTGCATCTCTGAGTGGTCAGATGGTGGCTGCACCTCGTTAAATTGTGCATCATTTGCTTTTATTTCATAAAGGACATTTCAGTATATCTTTTACTAATACCGGAAATTAGAGTATATTTCATAGCTTAAATTAAAACAAAAAAAGACTTCAAAGATATTCACAGTACTACCTCCAGTGACTGTAATCACAGAACCTTTCCTGTGACACACCTGTCACCCATTTATGTGTGCAGAGATTTTTAAGTGGACCACACACATTGACGAATATACACAGAAGCTTGACATCCTGCATCACGCACAGTCTTCAGTGAAAGGCCTTTCCCGACTTGACGTCTTGACACATCCACTTGCAGTGGGTCCCGCTCCTTTGGGAAAACGTGCCCGGGGATGTTTTGCTCTACATGTGACCACCCACTAAATTCTTTCGCATTTCTAGCTCTGTGCTTTTTATTTTAGCCTGCATTCACTCAAGTCGATACACGAGTATACAAGAGTCTCTAAAGTGAAGGAACACCATCGCTCTCGTGAGGACAAATGCTAAATATCTGACCTGACAGCAGGTCAGCTGAAGCTCAGACTGAAAAGAAATTGTTTACTGTGCCATTTTAAATTGACATAACTGGCAATTTAAAACAGACACTATTACTTGACAAATTGATCGTGACTAAATTAGCGATTAAGAAAAATGCATGGATGTGCACAAGATAGTAAGTATTGAGACTCTCTGAATCATGTTGCAGATATAATTTTAAATGGATACCGTCAGTTTTCAAAAAGGGTAACAAAAGTAGCAAAAGTAGTGGCTCATCAGCAACTGCTTACACTTTTCAGCTAATTGAAAATCTTATTGTATTGCTTTACTGGCAATACAATAAAAAAAAATACTGAAATGGGATACCGAGCAGCATGTATTTCTATTCTAAATAATAACAGGATATTATTCAGACCAAATCTGGAGAGTTTAGTGTCTGTTATATTCATGATGTGATAAATACAGTACATCAACCATGAAACCACAGACTGAAGACATGATGTACTCGTACATGTGCACTTACCCTTGACACAACGAAGTCTGTGGAAAAGAAACAAGGACAAAGGTCACACTTTGACTGATTGAAGGTTGTTGAATGAAAACATGCCTGGTAGTGGCTGTGACCTGACAGCTTTTAATGGTATTCTAACTTTATTTAGTATTAAATAATTATGTTATGAGATATCCAAATGTGACGTAATGTTTCAGTTTGTGCACTGACTGATTTTTAAAGCTCGCTGCCTGCCAGAGCTTATACAGAATTCACTTTTCAAATAATACTTGACTGTTTGCGGTTCATAAGAAGGGATCAATTACTATGTTTCTAAAAATCTTGCAACAGCCAAATACTTCATACATACATAAAGGGTCACATAGTTAAGTCACTATATCAGAAGTGCCATCACTGTCTGTGAGTGCCAATGCAGTTAATGTACTCCAGTCTGATAATCTGTTTGCTGAAGGACTTGTCAACACTCCTACTGTAATACTCAATTCAGTTAAACTCAAAATGTATTTGCACACATTGATTTAGCACCAAAACACAATGGAAGTTACCATAAGGTGCTTTATACAATATAAAGCACCTTATGGTAACTTCCATTGTGTTAGGTATGTTCTCCTTGTGCCTGTATGGTTTCTACCATGAAGGCCTCCAAAGAGATGCAAGTTAGGTTCAGTGGAGACTCTAAATTTCCACAGGTGTGGGTCAGTGTAAGTGGTTGTCTGAATGTACTCTGCTGATGAAAAGCAAAAGCAGAACCAACTTTCAGACAGAAGCTTATCCCAGTTCTTGTGCACAGTTTATTTTCAAGGCTTAAATGAGAATCACATGATTACAGAGAGTGAAATATTATACAGGAAGCAATTGCTCATTCAGGTATTGCTTTAGTGCTGATAGCTGGTCACTAGCACTCTGTTGAAGATTTCCCAAGATAAGCCTCTAATGCATTTACTGCCTCTAATGTACACTATGTTTCCAAAAGAATTGGCTTGCTTGCCTTCACATGCATATGAACTTGAGTGACATCCCATTCCTTGGCCCACCATTTGCAGATATAACATCTTCAGCTCTTCTGGGATGGCCTCTCCCTTAGAGATAGGGTGAGAGGTTCAGCCATCCAGGAGGGGAGTAGAGCCGCTGCTGCTCCACATCGAAAGGAGCCAGTTGAGGTGGTTCGGGCATCTGACAAGGATGCCTCCTGGGTGAGGTGTTCTGGGCATGTCCCACTGGGAGGAGGCCCCGGGGCAGACCCAGGATTATATCTCTCAGCTGGCCTGAAAACGCCTTGCTGTTCCCCCAGACAAGCTGGAGGAGGTGGCTGGGGAGAGGGAGGTCTGGGCTTTTCTGCTTGGGCTGCTGCCTCCGCGACCTGGCCCCGGATAAGCGGAAGAAGATGGTTGGATGGATGGAAGTCTTCTGGGAAAGCTTTCTAAAAGGTTTCTAGAGTGTTTATGGGATTTTTTTTACTGTTCTTCCAAAATCACATTTGGAAGATCAGAGGCTGATGTTTTACAAGAAGGCCTGGATCACAGATTTCTGCTCTAATTAATCCCATTAGGTGGAGGTCAGTACTCAGGCTGGTCAAATTCCTCGACACCAAGCTCATTCATCCATGTCTTTATGGACATTGCTCTGTGCACTGGTGTGCAGTCATGTTGTCAATCCTGGAAATGTTCCCAACGTTGGAAATGATTATTTGGAGCATGAAATTGTCCAAAATGTCTTGGTATGCTGAAGCATTAAGAATTCCTTTGACTGAAACTAAGGGGCCAAGCCCAACTCCTGAAAAACAACCCCACAACATAATCTCCAAATTTCACCAAACTTGGCACAGTACAGTCAGACAAGTACTGTTCTCCAGGCTACCACCAAATCCAGATTTTCATTTGGATTGCCAGACACGGTGTGATTCATCACTTCAGAGGGCACAACTCCACTGCTGTAGAGTCAAGTGTGCTTTACACCACAGCATCTGACACTTTGCATCGTGCTTGGTAATGTAAAGCTTGGATGCAGCTGCTCAGCCACGGAAAGTTATTCCATGAAGCTCTCTAAGTGCTGCTCACTAATCTGAAGGGCACATGAAGTTTGGAGATGTGTCGCTATGGACTCTGCAAAAAGTTGGTGACCTCTGCGCACTGAGCTCCTGAGAATGACCCATTCTTCATTTGGATTGGTTAGTGAAAACTTTTGGCAGTAAGGTTTTCTCCAGAAAATCTTATCTTTAACCTGAAAAACAACTCTAATAGCCCAGTGCAGTTTGTCACAGCCAGCGTCTGGATTTTGGCTTGGTTTTTAAATAAATGATGATAATAATATCTGTTATTGTTCATATGAGGCTGCATTTACCTGCTATTGTTGTGATATGGTGCTAAATCTATATCAACAAATATAAATAAAATGGAATTGAATGGAACTGAATTCGTTTTTATTATGTCCTGATATGTGAAACCTTACATTTTAAACATGGTGTACTAACCTTTTGTCATGAATTTTCTACATAACATAATGATGCTCTTTATTTCCAATGAATTTTTCTGCCTTGGTTTGTTTTCTCCAATCCTCACCTTTGTTTTCAGCCTTCAGCTCCTCCTGCAGGAAGTCCCTCTGCCGATTGCCCAGCACGAAGGCCAGAAAGGAGAGGATGAGGGCATCCAGCACGCCGATGATAGCCAGAATGTAGGCCCAACGAACAGAGCAGTTGCCCAAGGTATACTTTCCAGTGTCCTCACCACACATGTCCTGGATCACCTCTGCGTCCCAGCCATCCGGGAAGATCATACAGCCAAGCACGAGACAGATGGCTAAGAAAAAAAGAGGGAATGTAGGCCAGCAGTGAGCAAAGGGATTACTCAATTAATAATTAGTACAAAGATGTGATAGATAAACAGTAGTCACAACAACCTGAGTGGAACTGTATTTGTCTTGTGTGATACGGGATTTTGTTAGGGACCACGTATGATATCGTGCAGAGTGATGGGTCAAAGTAACAGATGTGTTACATTTAAAAACAGCTCATGACAGAAAATGTCAAGGCTGTAGGACCCAAACGCATGATTCATAACGTGAAGGAATAACAAAAAGCATTTCTTTGCTGTAAGACCCAAACACAAGGAAACCTAACCTAGAACTGGAAACTAGGAACTGGGACTGGGACTGGAACTGGAACAGAAAACTAAGAAACCGCAGAGCACAGACGACACACACAGCAATGTGGGAAAACAACAAGAGGCAGAGGAAGACAGGACTAAACACACAGAGGATAACGAGGGGATGGGATATACAGACATAATGAGACAGGGAGGAAGCCGAATGAACGTACTGAACACAGGACTACGGACTATCAAAATAAAACAGGAAACATGTTTCACAAGGTGTAATGTTGCATGTTGTAATTGGCATGTTTTAACTTGGTGTGTTTAATTATTTTGCATGTGTTGCTGTGTTTTATCATTTTTGATAATGTTGTTTTATTCTTACAATTTTATTGCATGCTTTTATTGTGACATTTGTTGACCTGTTTCTGGGGAGCACGTCCCCCCCCATACTCCCCCGCCCATGATCGCTTAACAGTTTGGCACACAGATCATGTGACACACCTGTGAGAGATCATTGCCTGGAAAAACTGCAAGGAGATTGACCAATCAGGGTTCACCTTTTGGCCACTGAAGGCCAATAAGAGGGCCTGGCAGGACGGATGAGAGTCATCGGGTGGTGAGCGGCGGCTAACGGGCAAAAGGACTAGGGTGATGATGATGATGGTGGTGGTGGTGGTGAAGATGGTGGTGGTGGTGAAGATGGTGGTGGTGGTGGTGGTGATGATGATGGTGATGATGGTGGTGGTGATGGTGGTGATGATGATGGTGATGATGGTGATGGTGGTGATGATGGTGATGATGGTGGTGGTGATGGTGATGGTGATGGTGATGATAGTGGTGGTGGTGATGATGGTGATGGTGATGATGGTGGTAATGGTGGTGGTGGTGATGATGGTGATGATGATGGTGATGATGGTGGTGGTGGTGACGATGGTGGTGGTGATGGTGATGATGATGGTGATGGTGGTGATGATGGTGATGATGGTGGTGGTGATGGTGATGATGATGGTGATGGTGGTG